TTTCTACATTTATCATGTACTATAATAAAATTTTTTTTTATTTTACTTTATTTTTTTTATTTTATTTTACAGAAATCTCAGCAAAGAAAAAAAAAGATTTGCACAATTTTTTTTTACATTTATATATACAATACAAATTATTTTTTTTACTTTTTTTTTTTTTTATTTATTTTACTTCATTTTATTATTATTTTTTTGTAAGGGTTTTGAGGATGAAAGGGGCTTTAAATGGCACCTGAGGGTTTCGGCAGCTCCTTTCCTCTATCTCGGACCTCTTCTTTAACAAAAATATGTTTTTTTTTCCCCCACCAAAAGGAAAATAACACAGTAAAAAAAAATAAAAATAGAAATTATAGATAAAAATAAACAAACATAAAAAATCAAGAGACGGTACACAACGATCGAATTAAAAAAGACACAAATATAAAAAAAAAAATTAAATAAACTAAATTAGCAAAAAAAATATTTAATATTATTAAAGAAAAAATAAACACATTGTAAATAAAGATTTTTTATTAAAAATTTTATTTTTTTCACATTTTAATAATCAGCTCAAAGAATGATTAATTGATTTTTCAGACTAATGGGAGCAAGCAGCCCTTGACGTCCCATTAAAAATCTTATAATAATACAGCACGGGGAATGCTGGGATTTGTAGTTCCCCCAGAGTCAATCTTGTAAATCCTGGGACAGAGAAGCTGGTGAATGATCCAGAACAAGCATGCAGCAAGTGATGTCTAATTGTAAAAAAAAAAAAAAAAAAATTCAATATGTGCACATTTTCCATAATGGTGTCACCCTCCCCTAATGGATTGGGTGTTAAACAGAATAAAAGTACATCCAGCTGTCAGAGAGTGACACCATCCATGGGGAAATTTCACCCTTGGGAAACAAACAAGATATATAATCGACTCATTTAAATTATTAAATAAATAACATCCTTAAAAAAAATAAATAAATAAAAAAAAAAAAAAAATAAATAAAAATTAAATAAATAAATAAAAATAAATAAATATAATAAATAATTTTTTAAAAATAAATAAATATAATAAAAAATAAAATAAAAAAATAATAAATGAATATAGTGCCAGTGTATATTACACTCTAATAACTGGTGTAAATGAGATCCACGTGCAATTATTAAGAAACGACTTTATATCACGGTGCATCGAACGTATTCGACCGATAACATACAGTGGATATTAATTTTTTTAATGGACCCACATCACATCGATCAACACAGCGATCTTCCACCAAACTCCTTTTCTTCGATGTATTTTATCACTGGGAGCTCCACATCGCCGGAATCAGAAGAGCGGGTAAAGTAAACAAGAAAATGGCGGCTCCTCGTAGTGAGGTATTTATTATTTTTATTACTAAACATTAAAAAAAGAAGAAATGCACTCACAAGGGAAAATTAGCGATCGCAAAATTAACTGACGTCACCACGCTTCCTTAAAAACGCGTTACGTCACGCATCACGTAACTTCATCAGGGATAGGATGATTACCACAATGGTGTCACCCTCTCCTGATGGTTTTTTTTCCATAATAGTAAATAAATTAAATTTAATATGTCCATCATATTATTACTATTATTATTATTTATTATCACATTATTTTTTTTTATTATTATTATTATCATCACAATTACCACAATGTTGACACCCTCCTCTGATGGATTACAATTTTTTTTAATTTTAACTAATTACATCCATCATATTATTATTATTAATTTTAAAATATTATTTTTTATTATAATCAGAATTACCACAATGGTGTCACCCTCCCCTGAAAAAATTTTTAAAAAATTAAATAAATAAGTAATAAAATCCTTTATATTATTATCGCTTTATTTATTATTAATATTATTATTATCAAATTATTGTTATTTATTATTAAAAATTAATATTAATAATAATAACAATTAATACTATAAAAATATCATATTATTTTTTTTTTTATTATTTTTATTATTATCACATTATTATTTATTATTATTAAAATAAACAATTACCACAATAACATCACCCTCCCCTTATAGATTATCCAAAAAATAAAAATAACTAATACGTCCATCATAGTATTATTAATTATTTATTATTTCAATCATTTTTTTTTCACATTATTATATTTTTAAAAAAATATTTTTATAATTTTTTTATTTATTATCACATTATATTTTTATTTAATTTGTATTTTATTTTATTATTATATTTTTTTAAAAGAAGAAAAGAAGAAGAATAATGGTGCCCACATATTTCTTCCTGACATTTATATTTTTTTTGTATGTATAGGCCTATTAGCCACCTACGGACACACCGTGGAAGCCCACTACCTGTTTTTTTATAATATCAATCCTCTTCGTCCACGATGGATGAAAAATTATTATTATTATTAATTTATATTATATATTTTATTTTTTTTTTAAATTTTATATTATTTTTATTTTTAATAATTATTTTTTTATTATTAATTAATAATTAATTTCACATTATTATATATTTTCAAACTATTTTTTTTATAATTTATTTATTATTATCACATTTATTATATATTTTTAATTTTTTATTTGTATATTATTATTATTATTATTATTATTATCACATTATTTATATACTTTAAAATACTTGTATTTTATTATTATGATGATTATTATTATTAATAATAATTTCACATTTTATATTTTCAAACTATTTTTTATATTTCATATTATTATCAAATTATTATTAAATATTTTTTTTTTAATAAATTATTATTATTATTATTATTATTATTATTTATTTATTATATATTTAAAAATATTTAATTATTTATTATTAATTATTTTCACATTATTATATATTTTAAAATACTTATATATTATTATTTATTTTTAAAATTAATATTATTATTATTATTTTTTTTAAAAAAAAAACATTATTATATATTTAAAACTATTTTTTATAAATTATAATTATTAAATCACATTATTATATATTTAAAAAATTTATATATTTTTATTATTATTATTATTATCACATTATTATATATTTTAAAAATATTTTTATCATTATTATCACATTATTATATTATTTTTAAATATTTGTATCATTATATTATTATTATTATCACATTTTTTATATTTTTTTAATATTTTTTATCAATTATTATTATTATTATTTTTTTTAAAATATATTTTTTTTTTATCAAATTTTTTTATTATATCACATAAATTATATTTTTTTTAAAAAAAATATTTATTTTTATTATTATTAATTATTTTATAATTATTTATATTTTTAAATATTTTATCATTAATTATTATTATTATATTTTATTATATTTATTTATAATTTAAATATTTGTATCATTTTTTTTATTATTTATTATTATATAATTTTTTTTTTTATTATTATTTTTATTTTTAAATATTTGATCTTATATTATTATTGCTTGCGTTGCCATTCACTTCTATGGGCCTCCCATAAAACGCAGAAAAAGAAAAAAAAAATGGACATTTATATTTTTTTTTCAAATGCCCTGAAATGAGAAATGACCCTGTTATGGGGAACCACGATGCGTGCGTTGTCGGAACGGCGTGCGTGTGGAAACGCAGCTGCATAATAGGTCCTGCCGGGAGAATTTGAGAAACTGATTTTCGCAGTTTAAAAGGAAAAAAAAGGAGAACAAACGCTTTGGCACAACCCGCTTTGCGAAGCCAGATGGATGCCCCCAATGCGACGCGCGTGCGGCGGGGCGTAGACACCCCAAAACTTGTAACCCTTGCGACTTGATTTTTTTTTTTTTATCTTTTTTAATATTAAAAGACGGAATTATGAAATTTTTGTTGCGAAAATGAAACGACGATTAAAGGATGGAAAAGCAAAAAAAAAACTAGGAACAGCGCCACCTTCGAGTTGCGTGGCGCAACGCTCTGCGAAGCCAAATGGATGCCCCAAAGAGACGCGTGCGGCGGGGCGTGGACACCCCAAAACTTGTAACCCCTTCGACTTGATTTTTTTTTTATCTCTTTAATATTAAAGACGGAATTATAAAATTTTTGTTGTGAAAACGAAACGATGATTAAAGGATGAAAAAGCAAAAAAAAAAAAAAACTAGGGAACAGCGACGGCGCCGCCTTCGAGGCGCGTGGGCACAACGCTCTGCGGAGCCAAATGGATGTGGCGGGGGGCGTAGATGCCCCCAAAACTTGTAACCCCTGCGACTTAACTTAACTTTTTTTTTTTTTTTTTTTTTTTTTTTACATTTTTTATCTTTTTAATATTAAAGTCAGAATTATAAAAATTTTTGTCATGAAAATTAAAGGATGAAAAAGCCATAAAAAAACAAAACTAGGAACAGGGATGGAGCTGCCCTTTAAGGATGGACGCCCCGATGCGTCGTGCGTAACCCTTGCGACTTAACTTTTTCTTTTTTTTTTACATTTTTTATTTTTTTTATATTAAAGTCAGAATTATAAAATTTTTTGTAAAACGACGATTAAAGGATGAAAAAGCAAAAAAAAAAAAAAAAACAGTCACAAAGGGGTTAATAAACAGCAGCCTCAGAAAGGCCTTGGCAAGACTACAAATCCCATCATGCATCAGGCTGGTTGGGCCCCTCCTCCTCACATGGGGAGGGGGGAGGGGGGGGGGTGGTGGTGGTTGGTGAAGGGGGAGGGGCTAGAGCTGAGTACAAAGCTTTTGAGCAATGTGTTACCTTGTAGCAAAGCAGAGTCAGCTTGTACAGACAGAGGATCTGCTGGATGGAGGAGGGGGGAGTCCGCTGTACGACTGTCTGCCGCTTGTTGATCGCTGCGCAGCACAAAGCTGGAAGAACTACCTCAATAGTCGCCCCTGATCCCTGATCGCCCCCCCCCTTTATGATTTCTGATCTGGGGGGGTCTTCTATACACGTCTCCCTATGCAGCGGATATAACACCCTGGGACGGTTATCCTTTCATTTGTTTTTTCTTGTTTTTTGGATGTTGGCTACCTGTCGGTGAGGATCGGCCGCCACATGCACACGGTTGCAGAAGGACACGACTTTCACCAAGATCTTCGTCGGGGGTCTCCCCTACCACACCACCGACTCGTCCCTCCGGAAATACTTCGAGGTCTTCGGGGGACATCGACGAGGCCGTGGTCATCACCGACAGGCAGACGGGCAAATCTCGGGGTTACGGATTTGTGAGTATCCCGCACCGCGGTCACTTATTGGCGAAATATTCGGGGTGAACTTTTAAGGTGTTCGGTCCCCCCCCCCCCCCCCCCAGCAGCAAGAAAGCATCACCTCCTTTGTTTGTTTTTTTTTGCCCGCGCCGGCTCTTGAAGTACCTCGGAGGCGGCAGGTGTGCCCTGCGTTCTGTGTGCCGCCATTGGCTCCCCGTGGCGTGACCGCAGAGGGACACTTCACCAGCCTGCACAGGCGTAGTCCAGACAAAATCGTATCCATCCATAGGTAGACCTGTGCAGGCCGTAGATGGGTCGTTTATTGGCCGACTTGTCAGCCAAAAAATGAAAAATCGGTCGTTCTGTTGCCCACCAATGCTTACGAAAGTCGGCTGTTTTTCGTGGATTTTCCAGCATGACCGATAAAAGAAACACGAAGGAAACGCGAATATCGGCCGATGGCATTGCCCTGCTAACGGTGCGACTATCGGACGATTATTCTTTCGGATGAAAATTCGTCCGATGAACGAACCGTCTATGGCCTGCGTTGGTGATGTTCCTCTTAGGGGTGGAGAGCATTGGGAGGAATCCTCTACTGAAGATCTGTAGATGCCGGCAGTCTCACTCTGCCCGCTGCAAGGTGGGCGGCGGCGGTCTGGCTCTGTCCGCTGCAAGGTGGCGGCGGCGGTCTGGCTCTGCCCGCTGCAAGGTGGTGGGTCTGACTCTGCCCGCTGCAAGGTGGCGGTCTGGCTCTGCCCGCTGCAAGGTGGCGGTCTGGCTCTGCCCGCTGCAAGGTGGCGGTCTGGCTCTGCCCGCTGCAAGGTGGCGGTCTGGCTCTGCCCCTGCATTCCCTGTGATGGGTTGAAGCGATTTTTTTTGTTTTTTTGCTCTGAGAGTTTTCTAATATGTGGTGTCCCCCAAAAACTGAGGTTTTCTTTCTAGGTGGTCTTCTTTTTTTTTTTTTTTTTTTTTTCCTTTTTTTGTTTTCCTTTTTTATACAGTGTAAGTTGTTTTATTATTTGTCTTCTATTGTCTTGTTGGTCTCTGTTGGGTCCCTCTCGTTGGGTCCTCTCTTGTTGGGTCCCTCTCGTTGGTCCTTCTTGTGGGTCCCTCTCGTTGGGTCCCTCTCGTTGGGTCCCTCTCATTGGGTCCCTCTCGTTGGTCTCTCTCATTGTGTTTGGAAACCTATCACGTCTTGGTACTGTTTGGCTCTCACTTGGTCCTTGTGTTGTCTTTGCTGGTAGGCATTGTGTATGTCAGACGGGGCCCCTGGAGGTCTCCTCTCCCGGGCCAAGGTCAGTCGTCCCCCCCCCCCCCCGTGTGGCTCCGGCCTAGCCGTCCCCTTTGTGGCTGTGTGTTAAACAGAAAGTTTTGTTGCCATCCCACACAACAGGTCTTTCACAATGACAAATGTTTACACTCCAAACATCTCCACTTTATTTATTTTATTATCCTTTTTTTTTTTTTTTTTTTTTTTTTTTTTTTTTTTTACTTTATTTTGTTTGGCTAGTGATCTGATCACTGGAGGTAAGGGGCCCCTCCTCAGGTTGGTGACCGCTGGAGGGGGGCCTGTCAGGCTGGTTATCACCCACCTGACTGGGCCCCCCTTGCCTCCATTGATCGCCTGCCTGACAGGGCCCCCCTCCCCCAATTATAAACTAGCCTTACAAGGCCCCCTCCAGTAACCCCCCCCCCCCCCCCCCCGGATGACAGGAACCCCCTTACCTCCAGTAATTGCCTGCCTGACAGGGCCCCCCCTCCCCCTATGATCAACCAGTCCTACAAGGCCCCCTCCAGTGATCACCCACCTGATTGGGGGGGGGGGGCCCCCCTTACCTCCAGTGATTGCCTACCTGACATGGGGCCCCCCTCCAGTGATCGTCCACCTGACGGGTTTTCTCTTACCTCCAGTAATCACTGAAGGTAAGGGGGGACCTTGTCAGGCTGGTGATCATTAGAGGGGGGGCTGTCAGGCGGGTGATCACTGGAGGTAAGGGGGGCCTGTCAGGTCAATGATCACTGGAGCAGGGGCCCCGTCATGCAGGTGATTACTGGAGGTAGGGGGGGACCTGTCAGGTGGGTGATGGGGGGGCCTTGTCAGGTGATCACTGGAGGGGGCATTGTTGCTCATTTGGGGGAGGGGGGGGCCCTGTCAGGCAGGCGATCACTGGAGGTAAGGAGGGTCCCGTCAGGTGGGTGATCACTAGAGGGGGGGGACCCTGTCAGGCGGGCGATTACTGGAGGGAGCCTTGTAAGGCTGGTTGAATACTGGAGTGGGAAGGGGACAGGTGGGTCATATCAGTCTGGTGATCATTGGGGGGCCTGTCAGACTGGGGGGGGTTCACACGCATGTCACGCTGGTGGTCATTAGAGGGGCTCTGTCAGGTTGGTGATCACTTCTGTCATGCTGCTGATCACTGAAACAGGTTGGTGGTCACTGTAGGGGCCAAGGCCATGTCACACTGGTTGGAGACTACTGTAGGGGTACCCTATTGCGCTGGTTGGTGATCACAATTTGGGCACCCCATTGGGCTGGTAGGCAATTGGTGTGTGGCAACTTGCCAGGCTAGTTGGTGATCACTAAAGGAGTGCCCTGCCAGGCTGGTTGGGGATTGCTATAGGGGCACCTTGCCAGGCTGGTTGGGGATTGCTGTAGGGGCACCTTGCCAGGCTGGTTGGGGATTGCTGTAGGGGCACCTTGCCAGGCTGGTTGGGGATTGCTGTAGGGGCACCTTGCCAGGCTGGTTGGGGATTGCTGTAGGGGCACCTTGCCAGGCTGGTTGGGGATTGCTGTAGGGGCACCTTGCCAGGCTGGTTGGCGATCAATGGGGTGCAAGCTACTTGTCGATAAGACAAAGGGCATGTTCATTAGTCACCATGACTTTCATGTGGGCAATAGTGCCATGAACATGACCAACTTTTTATAAAGAACACATATTCTGGCAAATTCCGCATGGTGGATAATATCCAAATAATGCTTCAGAGAGACCAGAAACGCCCATGGATCCCATTCACCCATCGCAAGATGGCAGAAAAAAACCAACCCAAAGGGCTACTGCGTGGATGGCCCTACCAAAAACTAGCAGGTCAACCAGCGGTCACTTCAGATGGCCACGTTTTGGGTCCACTGCTATAGATCTGGGGGTGGCCCTATGGCTCAGGCTATTTGTGAACCAGCAGAAATGGGGAATCTCCCGGATGAGGAGCTTCCTTACAAGGGGTTAAATCTCTGACCTTCCAGCCATTGTAGCCGAGCTGTTGTTGGCCCCCCTGTGTAGCCTTTGTAAGAGTGAGCAGGTGATTGCCGCTTGTCTCATTGCCTTTTGTTCCTCAGCTGTTGGCGGAAACTGGGAGCGAAGTGCAAATTCTCCTCTGCCGGCTTTGTAGCCTTATCTAGGAAGGTTAGCACCTTTCTGCTAATTTTACCCCCCCCCCCCCCAATGGTCCAAAAACATTCACAAATGTCCATGTGCTCAAGTGTAGAAAGTGGCCAAATGGAGGACTTTTAAAGACTTCACTGCCCACATACTTGTTGACAGTCTCTCTTTTTCCTTGCATTGTATGATCAGCCAAGTGTGTAGCCAGTGTTATGGGAAATTCAGATAGAGCCGAGGGGGAGGGATGACTCTGACGTGGCCAACTTGTGGGGAATTTATTGATGGGACAAGTCCAACCAGCGCCTCCATATTCCTTTTTAATCCAGACACCCCGAGCAGATCGAAGAGCCGGAACCTTGACTTCCTTCTGCCTGGTGGTGGCACCATCAGCTGGCCTGGAATGATCAGGAAATGGTCATTGGCGGCTTCCCTGGGTCTGTCATGACATGTTCTCTTTTAAACAAAAAATGTGCCGCTTGTCCTGGTGACTAATTGCGATGTCATCTCAGGTATGATGTAAGATCAGGGCCGGTTCCAGGAGCTGGGTCACCAATGTGACATCGTAAAAAAAAGTCCGGGCCATTCCAGGTCACAAATGTGACAAAACAAATACAAGCAAGGGCAATTCCGGGTCACAAATGTATTAAACTCCAACCCAAAATATGTGATCTGTTGCAGGTTAGACGTGGTGGCTGCATTAGTTTTCTTTTTTTTAGTCTTTTTTTTTTTTTTTTTTCCCCTTCTGTTTTCATCTGTGAGCTGGCCAATAATACACCCCATGTATTACAGTGCCCCCACTCTGGATGAAGGAGCACAGGGGCACCTTTTGTACAGCAGCATTGTCAGTCTTGGGGAGGGGGAGTGTTAGATATGTTGCAGATTCCAATGCACTGACATGGGGGTCTCCAAATTTTCTAAGCAAAGGACCAGTTTTACTGTCCTTCAGACTTTAGGGGGGCCAGACTGGAACATGTACCGGCATCAGTGGTAATAAACAATGCCCCATCTTTTGGTGTCAGTGGGAGAAATTGTGCCCCATCATTGGTGTCAGTGAGAGGAATTGTGCCCCGTCATTGATGTCAGTGGGAGGAATTGTGCCCCGTCATTGGTGTCAGTGGGAGGAATTGTGCCCCGTCATTGGTGTCAGTGGGGAGGAATTGTGCCCCGTCATTGGTGTCAGTGAGAGGAATTGTGCCCCGTCATTGGTGTCAGTGGAGGAATTGTGCCCCGTCATTGGTGTCAGTGAGAGGAATTGTGCCCCGTCATTGGTGTCAGTGAGAGGAATTGTGCCCCGTCATTGGTGTCAGTGAGAGGAATTGTGCCCCGTCATTGGTGTCAGTGAGAGGAATTGTGCCCCGTCATTGGTGTCAGTGAGAGGAATTGTGCCCCGTCATTGGTGTCAGTGGGAGGAATTGTGCCCCGTCATTGGTGTCAGTGAGAGGAATTGTGCCCCGTCATTGGTGTCAGTGGGAGGAATTGTGCCCCGTCATTGGTGTCAGTGAGAGGAATTGTGCCCCGTCATTGGTGTCAGTGGAGGAATAGTGCCCCCGTCATTGGTGTCAGTGGGAGGAATAGTGCCCCGTCATTGGTGTCAGTGGGAGGAATAGTGCCCCATCATTGGTGTCAGTGGGAGGAATAGTG